TAATGAAATCAAGTAATCTCTGGACTAAGATTTAATATGTGAACACAGGATAGTTTCATTGCAAGTAAGACACTCTCTCCTTATGTAAATAAAAGCATGCCTTCTAAAAAGGCTCAGATGCTTACACATTCCTTAAATTCACTCCTTCACAGTTTAACTCATTGAGTTTTTTTTTTCTTGATATGCTACAATACAGTGTGAGTTTTAAGGAACCCCACAGGCTTTGTTCTTACTCCATGGAAACTTTCATAATTGTCTTAGGTATCAGAATATCAGGCAATTATGACAGAGACCAAGATAGAAGCATGAAATGCTCTGGTTCAGGAATCATACATGGCTTAGCTCAGCCTCCCATTTTGTGGTTGAAGCTTCAGTGGATAATTTCCCTAGTCCACTAAGTGAGGTGCTTTTACTTGCTTGAGAAAATAACCATTGTACTTAAGAAAATACTTCCGAATCTGACAAATAATCGGTATGGATTGTTCAATAAAATCAGGTCTACATGGAATAGTTAATATCATGTTACTGATTTATAATTTTCCTTTATATATACTGGATTAACATTCCTTTTAGAGTGCCTTACTGGAAGGATACATAAAGTGATTGAATGTTTACACTGTCCTATTCATTAAATTCTGCTGTAAATAGCAATGTGCATTTTAGATAGCTGAAGAATCCCTGAGATGTTTGTAGAATTGAAGTGAAAGTGTTGAAGCGTTGCCACAGGTAAAGACTTTAACATGACAGAAGGCAGAAGAATTTGTCAAGAAGCTTCCAGACTGAGGTTAGTCTATCAGGAAGGCTGGCAAACAGGAGAATGATCTCATTTCTATGTTTTGATCTTGATGAAGAGTGTAGTGAACTTAAGTCTAATTGGTCCCACAGAGAAACTAATGACTAAGTCATGAAAAACCCCAAGGGTGTCTGAAAGATCTGATAGAGGGGGTAATCAAGATGTTCAACACTTGACAGCATGCAGATCCCATGAACATCGTTGTACAAACATCAAATCTCAGAACCCAAGGCTGACAAACCATGAACTCCTCTAAGTACAAAAAGAGTTGAGTTTCCTTTACAGTGGTAGAAAGTCTGATGTGGTATAAAGTGGCAAGTACCTCCAGTTCCAGTGTTCTTGCTGAGATTGAGTTGGACATCATCAGTGAGAGCATCACAGTAAGTTCAATTTCAGCAGGAACTCTTGAGACACGGTGTCAGAGAACCCAGGGCTTAGGATATAGCTCAACCATAAAGCTGTCAACTAGCAAACTTAGACACTGGGTCTAATCCTCAGGACTGAGAAGAAATGATTCTGGGTTCCGGCATGAAAAGTGTTTCTACATATGTTTTTGTTTTCTAATGCTACGTCACTGCATATTCACTGACTACATGACATCTGAAAGCAGGATCTAAACATTCAGTTATTTTAAAAAGTTTTATTTTTCTGAAAAATGGCTTTAATTAAGAATAGAACAGATATATTTTCTTAGGTACATGATTTTATGTAAAAATAAATTATACTTTCTCTCTCATAAGCAGGTGAATGCAATAATCTACAGTGTGTGACATTTGGTTCCCTCATCTTGTATTGTAACCTAAATGTTATAAGGGTATAATAGTGTCCAATTGTAAATGAATTTGCATTTTTGATCAATATATAGTTGGATGTTTTTCTTATAATTAATTGTCATTTACTTAACAGTTTTGATGAAAACTATGTCCAAATCAGTTTCTTGGTTTTCTTATGCAAGAGAAATTACCAGATTATATTTTTTTCACTTAAACATTCCATATACTATTTCATATTAGATATATAATTTGTTAACATTTTTCTCAAGGTAAAAGATTTTTTATTGTTTTGTTAGAAATAATCATAAAATTTTGTATTTGTTAACATTTAATTTTAATCCAGTTCAGAAAGATTTTCAAAACTAACTTAATTTACAAATATCTAGGAACCAGAATATCTTAATGTGTTCTGTTGTAAAATTTATTACCATTATTTATTGTCAGTATATTAACACTTTGACTGTTCTACTGGCTAATGACCTAAACTTAATTTTCTTCAAATGTCATTTAATGAATGAATTAGTTATCAGGAAACTCCAGAAATTTCCCATTGTGTTTTCTTGTTTCCTCTCTTTGGTCCCCTGCTGGCCTTAACTGCTTTGTTTTCCTTTACTGTCTTTCATTATCCCTACATAGAAAAATTTAATTTCAGGTAATTCAGTTTGTTTTCTTTGAAAAGAAATCACAATTTGCAATTTGTATATGAGTGAAATTAAGGTCACTAAAAAGATGTTTCTGTTAATATCTAGAGGAATTTTATATTAATTTACATTTGAACCATGATGTATGTAAGAATATTTTTGTATATGTTGTTAGAATGAATCTACAATAATTGAGTTTTATTATTATTTTTTATATAATTGATTAGTTATTCCAAAAGTCATATTGAAAATAAAAGTCCCTCCCTATTTTCTTGTATGGTTTACAGAATATAAATTAACCATACATCTGAGAGTCTATTTTCTAGATGTTCTATTTGGACCTGCTGAGATATGTCTACACCTTCTAAGTGATACAGTTCTAGGTATCACCCCAGACCTCCAACCCACTGACCCCCTTCCCTCCACACACAACTACCATCCTACACATCAATTCACAGCAAAAAGGCACATAATCAACTGAGACCAGACAGGCAATCCAGGTAGGGGAACAGGATCCACAGGCAGGCAGACAAGCGTCATAATCAGGGACAGCCACCTCTCCAGTTTTGGGGGGACCCGTATGAAAAGCAAACTGCTCATCTGCTACATATGTACAGGGGGCCTAGGTTCAGCCCATGTTCACTATTTGGTAGGTGGTGCATTCTTTGGTAAGCCTCAAGGGTCGAAGTTACTTGACACTCTTGATCTTCCTGTGGGATCCCTGTCCTCTTCAGGTCCCACAATCCTTTGCCCAACTCTCCCATTAAGACTCCTAGAGCCCATCCAATATTTGACAGTAGATTTCTGCACTGAATGGAGCCTCTCAGAGGACTATTATGGAATTAAACAGTCTGGAGTTATAATTGAGTTACATTAATAATGTCAGGGATTGATTCTTACACGTGGGATGGGTCTTAGTTTGGCTCAATCATTTCTTGGCCATTCCCTCAGTCTGCGTTCTCTCTTTGTTCCTATACATCTTGTAGGCATTGGCACATTTTGGGTTGAAGGTTATGTGGGTAGGCTTCTGTCCTTGTCTCTCCAATGGACGTGCTGCTTGATGATAGGAAGTAGCCACTCACTGATCCATTTCCCCCACTGCTAGGAGTCTCAGCATGAGTTGTCCCCCAAAGACCCTTTGGGGCCTCCCTACAACCCAGGTTTCTAGGAAGTACTAGTGGTTACTCTCCTCCCACCACCCACATGCACCCTACCCCTGCCACCTCGTCTCATTCTCTCTTTCCTACTTCCCTACATCTAATTCCTACAGCAGTATGCTCCTCTCCCCATCCCCTCTCCTACTCAGTTCCCTTCGTCTGTTTTCCTCGATATCTACTTTAGTTCCTCTTCTCAGAAAGATTCAACCATTCTCGATTTGGATGTGTGGATAATAGTGTGGAAGCTTGTTGTGAATTTAATTTTCCGGAATGTCTTTAGTCAGTCTTGACTAAGATGTCCAAACCAATGTCAATTAATAACACAAATGCTGTTGTTTGTTTGGTTTTTGGTTTTTGGTTATTTTGTTTTGTTTTGTTTTGTAAAGCTGTCACACTTTTAGTGGCTTTGAATTGCAACCACAAATTAAACTTTTCTTTGCAAATCCATTGGAAGCTGATGGCTATTGTTTAGACATTTTTGATGTAGTACTTTGTTAAGGAGCTGCCTTTTACCTATTTTAGGGGAGAATGTGTGTGTGTGTGTGTGTGTGTGTGTGTGTGTATGTGCATGTGTGTGTTTGTTTGTATGTGTGTGCTTTCAAATATATATATACATATATATGTATATATGTGTGTGTGTGTGTGTGTGTGTGTGTGTGTTTCTGTGTGTAAATGTTCTTGGAAGCCAGTAAATAACTTTGAACATTGTTTATTATGGTCAATTTACTTGATTATTGTTATTATTATTATTATGTCATTATTATTATTCACTTTTCATCTGGATACTGCTCACCTTCTCCTCCATCTGCTCTTTCCAGTCCCTCTCATACAAATCTCTCCCCCTCCCATTATCGCTACCTTTCTTCTCATTCAAATCTTTCACTCTTTGGTTAAAATTACTGCAAGATATTTTATATTATGTGGGGCTATCATGAAAAGTATTATTTTCTTGATTTCATTCTCACTAAATTTGTTATTTGAATAAGAGGAGGGCTACTGATTTATGTAAACTAATATTAGATCCACTCAGTATGCTGACAGTATAGGAGTTACATAGAGGAATTTTTGGAGTCACTTATATACACTATAATATCATCTTCAAAATAAGTCAATCCTAATTATCAATGTTCACTTTGTGAAATAGTTAATACATATATTTATTATCTAACAGAACAATGAAACAAATTTGTAATTCTTCGCTTTCTGTTCCTCTGATTTTGACATTCTCTACTCTCAAAAGTTGAAGGCACAAGAAGAATATTTAAAATAATAAAATTCTTATTTGACTGATATGTCTCTGCCATGTATGTATTAGGCTTGTTTTCTGAGATGTATCTCTTCTTAAATGACGTGGTTTAGAAATAGTGTTTACAAATACTAGGTTCAAAGGCTTGACACGTTGAAATACAGTACAAAAGCTCTTGGCACTACTCACATAAATACAATATTTTCTATAAAATATCATTAATTTTGAAACTCATATTTAGAAAATATTAAAGTGAGACAAGTTCCACAAGGTGAAGATGTTACAGCAAGAAGTGATTAAATAGAAATTAAGATGGTACCTGCTTTCAAAAGAAGAGCAACTGTCCTTCAAAAGTTCAAATCTTTTCCTTTCAGATTCTGACCAGACAGCATGGAAAAAGGCAATCACTCCACAGTGACCAAATTCTTCCTCTCTGGCTTAACAGACCAACCAGAGCTGCAGCTGCCCCTGTTCCTCCTCTTCCTTGGAATCTACCTGCTCACAGTGCTGGGGAACCTGGGCATGATCATCCTGATCCTGCTCAGCTCCCACCTGCACACCCCCATGTACTTCTTCCTCAGCAGCCTGTCCTTCATTGACCTCTGTCAATCTACTGTCATTATCCCCAAAATGCTGGTGAATTTTGTGACGGAGAAGAATGACATCTCCTACCCTGAGTGTGTATCTCAACTTTACTTCTTTCTCCTTTTTGCTGTTTCAGAATGTTACATGCTGGCTGCCATGGCATATGATCGCTATGTTGCCATCTGTAGCCCCTTGCTTTACAATATCATCATGTCTCAACATGTGTGCCTCTCTCTTATCTTAGGAGTTTACATTGTAGGCATAATTTGTGCATCAGCTCACGTAGGGTGTATGTTTAGGATTGATTTCTGCAGGTTTGATTTGATCAACCATTATTTCTGTGATCTTATTTCTATTCTTAATCTCTCATGCTCTAATATTTTTGTGAATGAGTTGATGATACTAATTTTTAGTGGAATAAATATTATTGGCCCAACACTGACCATCCTCAGTTCCTATGTTTTCATCATTATCAGCATCCTACGCATTAAGTCCACTGAGGGCAGATCCAAAGCCTTCAGCACCTGCAGCTCCCACGTCTCAGCTGTGGCTCTCTTCTTTGGTTCTGCTTCATTTATGTATCTAAACCCATCATCTTCCAATTCTATGGATGAAGGAAAAGTGTCTTCTGTATTTTACACCATCATTGTACCCATGCTCAACCCCATGATCTACAGTCTGAGGAATAAGGATGTCAATATTGCTCTGAAGAAACTGATAGAAGGAAGATTATTTTTCTGACAAATATGTTTAAAATTTATCACAAACCTTAGTTTGTTTCTGCTACATAGTATGAATTAAATACATGCAAATTTATTCAGTCAAATTTATTATTCAAATTTATGTAATTTTTCTTGGTTTATGAGATTCTATGACATTTTCCCTTGTTTTACTAATTTTATTTTCCTCTATATCTCACCTCATATCTTCATTTCCAGAGTCATGACCATATTCTAAACATATGGAATGAATTTGCTACCAGGCCTTGATAATTTTCTTGATTTTCATTTTCTTCAATTGTATTTCATATCACATCCAATATGTAACCATCATACCGTTTCTTATTGACAGTTCTGTATTTCGTTCAGCATTTTTGTTTTCTCTAAATTCATTAAGCATACAATTCATAAGTTCTCCAAGGCTGTGTAAGACTCCTGGTAGCTATCCTTTATTAGTAGAAAAAAATTATTATAAATATTAACCTTCAGATTTTTCTGAAACAAATCATATGATAACATTGTTTATTACTTATCGTACTATTTTACTTTTGAGTTGCTTAAGTGTGTTTGTATGTTACTGCTTTGTGTACATACATGTGGATGAATGTATGCATATATTAGTAGGTCAGAAGGCAAGTAGAGGTGTTTTTCCATAGAAGCTGTCTGTCTTGTTTTTGTTAACAACAGCACCACCTTTTCACTGGCCACAGCCTAAAAGAGATATCCACACAAAGTCTGTACCTCCCAGTGTCCTTGTCTAGGTCCTAGAGTTAGGGACCTGAAGAAAACATAAACCTTTGTGTATACCCGCACAAACTTCTGAAGACCTATATCAAAATCTACCAACACCACTGGGTTCATTTATTGATAAGAAGGTGATCTTTGCCATACTGAACTGGAACTGCTTCTGATATTCCGATTTCATATTCATGCTGATGAATATGAAATTTATATTCCCAAGTCTGAACACTAAGCACCACCCAGCTGCTCAAAAACATAACAACTTCAATTAATAGCAGAGATCCCAACAACACAATCAAGGTGGGAGTAATGTCCATATCAAGTGATACCGTAACAAGTCTAACTCCATATGCCCATGTCTCATACCAAAATCACCAACAGCACACAGACAAAAGAGAAAAACAAGACACATTATCTGTATAAACGTAATGTAAATGACAATATAAAATAGAAATTATAAATATAGTCAATTAATTGAAATAGGATATTAATACTGGGATAGAGACTAGGAAAGAGTTAAGAAAATAAGCCAAATATTAAGGATACAGTTGGTAATTTAACTAATTAGTATAAAATATAACATTTCTGAAGAAAATCTCAATGGTATAAAATATAAAATAAAAAATTAAACCAAACAAAACATTAAATAGAGAGTCATACCAGAAAAATAAATCAAATACAAGACTGAATATCAGGGTTTGACAATAAAATGGAATAAAAAGTTAATTCAAGAGAACAATAAATCTAATAAAACTTAAAAACAGAGTCATCAGACACTACAAAAGCATGGAATCTATGGGGAAATAAGAGGAAATCCAAATAAAGGCACAGAAAATGTAGCTGCTAAAATCATTGAAGGTCCATTTCTAAATGTAAGATTGAAATACAGTGGTTTTTTTCTCCAATAGAGAGATCCTAGGTATGTCAATCAAGTTCCAGACAAGCTTTATACTCAATAATAGTTGGCCAAGACAAAATAGACTCTGCAATTTTGTACTTTTCTTTTTTTCTTTTTTTTCCTTTGTATTGGCTTTTGTTTTGATTTTTTTTTCAGAGAGAAAAGGGTGAAAAATTTGAATTTCAGTGAGCAGTAGGGGAGAAAGAATTATGGGAAGGGAAAAATATGATCAAAATATAGTGTACAAAATGCTTTTTAAAACATTTTTGAAAAAACATAGCAAGAAATTTTAAGAAGAGGAATAGGCAGAAAGAAAGAAAATCATCTATGTGAGGTAACGCATATAAAAAAATTTTCTTAAATCTAGATAAGAAAATGGTCATGAAGGGGCAAGAGGATATGGGACACTGAAAGAGAAAACCAAAGAGGAGTACCCCTACTAATGTAATTCTGAAAACACTAGACCTACAGAACAAAGTAAAAGTATTAAATGTCACAAGGAAGACTAGATTACATATAAAGGCAGATACATTTCAATATGAGACAAATTTTCCAAAAAGATCACCTCATTTGATGATTAAGAAGCCTTTGACAAAATCAAACATATTTCCATGGTAAAAGTCATGGAAAAACTTATGAGTACTGCACACATATCCCAATATAATAAAAAAAAATATACAAGCCTACAGCCAACATTAACTTGAATGAAGAAAATTCAAATAATGCTATTAAAGTCATCAATAAAACAAGGGTGTCCATGCTTTTTCCTCTTGTTAAATATATATCTTGGCATCTTAGCTTAAGAAGTGTTATGGATGTAGAGGTAAATGAGATAAAATAAAGGAAGAAATTAAAGTATCCTTGTTTTGCATATGATACAATTTTATACACAGGAGAACCTAAAGGCACCACCAGAAATCACATACAGCTGATAAAACATGTATCAAAGTATGAGACTATAAAATCAATACACAAAGACCAATAGACTCCCTATACATAAAGAAAAGGAAGAAAGAAAGAAAAAGAAAGAAAGAAAGAAAGAAAAAAAGAAAAAAGAAAGAAAGACAGGAGGGAGGGAGGGAGGGATGAGAGAGAGAGAGAGAGAGAGAGAGAGAGAGAGAGAGAGAGAGAGAG